TAATAGTAAAAAGTTAGCTTCTTATACTTATAATTTTAGGCTAAGTAGCGATATTACTACCTAGGTAGTATAGATAACGACGTTACCTAAAAGGTTCGAATTTATTACTAATATAGCATTACGAACTGCTTGCTGCCTATTAAGTAGCATAGTAAATAAGCGTTCCGATCTTAATACTATCTATATATCCTAGTCCCGGTTAATAGTGATTTCTAGGCAGATAAATACGGAAACACACCGTTTTATTATATAGCTTTTATATTTATCTAATATAATTAGTCTAGCATCTAACTTATTAGTAGGCCGCATCTTAGGAAATAGACTCTCTTAAGCCACTTAATAGCGATAGGTTGTCCGTCTATCCGTTAGGCGAGGTAATATAATACTAGTCGGCTATTTTGCCGAATTCTATTACGAACTACTATTTCTAGAGTTCTTTGCCCTCGAAAGGAATGCTAGGAGTAAGGGCACGGCCGTCCGCGGTAATAGCTTCGAAAGGAGGTCTAGTTATAAGGCTATAGTCCTTTTAAAAGGGCCTTCCCTTTTAGGTCTATAATCCTAACCTTAAGACTATCTAAACCTAATAAAAAGAGGTTAGGTAGTTAGAATATTAAGCGGTAAGTTAAACGCTTACTAAAGCTAGATATAATACCGCCCTCGTCGGTATTTACGGTATTCTCTAGTTTAATCCGCCTATACCCCTTATCCCTAATATCGAAGTACTAGTAAACCGCCCGAGGCGTGAAAGTGTTAAACCTATTAGCTTCCTAACGTCTTTTATGCTTATTCTTAATCTCCGGATAGCGATTAATGAATTTAGTAGACCGGTTGCGGCCTACTATCCGCTTATTATTTAGTTGCTTTATAGAGTCTCTACGTAGGCGCGGATCGCTCTATAGGAAGGAGCAGAGCTAAGAGACTCTTAACGGATAACCTAAGATATAAAATAAGCCTTCTAATTCTTTCTTAAGTGTTTATAAACCTAGATTTAATTAGCTAGGGCTACTTAGTCTTTTATTAATCGGAAATAGACTATTAAGGTATATCGTACTTTTAAGTAGCGCGATACTACGAAAAAGCGTTATTTATAATTTAAGATATAATAATTATATTCTACTCCCTAAAATAGATATATTAAGGCCGTTTTAAGGTTATTTTAGATATATAGTAGAGGAATAATAAGAATAATTATCGTAGGGAGGGAAAGAAAGATTACGCGGCTAAATAGTAATTTCGCGCGTAACGTTAATATAGACTATAGCGCCCTATATAAACATTTAATCTCTTAAAAGTAGAATTCGGTTAATTCTCTATCTATTCTAAGCAACTACTTACGAAAATCTTTAAAGTTGGCTGTAATCGGTGTAAGTAAAATGGTAGACTTTTAGTGGAGTTTTTTTCAATTGCGCTACCGAAAGGGGGGTGTTACCGAAAGGGGGGTGGAGTATGGTATCTGATCGTACAATAATTAAGCAAAGCTGTAAATTTGAGCTACGTAGTGACGAAGTACACGCAGTGCGCAGATTCAGCTGTGCTTCTTTACTGAGGAAAAAGTGCAGACCACTTTTTCCTTACCCAGCGTTTTGATTGGCCTACTCATTATTTGCAGAACCATCATTGGTCAGATTTACCCAGAGTTCACCCGGAGGCAGCGTTGTGATTGGCCAGAGCCGATGTATACTGTACGCCGTAGAATTATTCGTACCGTACAAAACGCTTCTGATTGGCCAACATGGTTTACCCGCTACTTTGCCATACGGAAGTTTACCCCCACCTTTGCCGCCACAGACCTGACAGCGCGCGCCTTACATCAATGCTTTGTTGCATCTTCGTAGCACAGTAATTTACAGCTTTGCTTACTCCTGTGACGGCGTATTCGGCGGCAACCCAGGTATCTTAATAATAATACTCGACCTTCAAAAAGTCCCTTTATCCACGTTTATGCCCACTTTTGCCCTCTCCTTCGCGAGAATTCGGAGCCCTTCCCTCGTCAGCGGGTTCCAGGCACAGCAGTGAAGCCGTAATTGTAGTCAGTCTTTGGCCGAGGCCGGGTGACTGAGAAAGCCCACGAAGTCATGGGCCGGCCGCAAGCACCCTCAAGTGTTACCGAAACGGGGTGGGGTATAATAACAGTCTTTTCATTCCACGAGCCACGCTGATCGCAGTACGACTTACCTGACCACGCATCCGGGCCCGGCCGTACTAGTGGCGGTGCAAGGCTGTCCGGACCCCTGATCTGCTTCCTCTTCTAGACATATTCTGCATACCTAGTTCAGCACCACTAGGATAGTGTCGTTATTCGCTTGGATAAATTGGGGAGGGGGGACATGCTAAGTTGATACTTGATTCGTATTAGCGGCAATGGAAAATGAAGGACCCCGGCTGCGCCCACTGTTGAACCAGACATCAAAAGTGGAGGGACCGTAGAGAGGACCGGTAGATGTGGCCTATGTGGCGGCTGCCTCAATACCCACCCACACACGTGGGGAGGCGCAGGACCCCGGCTTGTAGTTATTTTTACCGGCGACTGTGAGAGACGAGGAAGTCCTCTTTCTCAATGTGGTTGACCCCTGCGAGCATCTTCTCTTGAACGTTCCGCCCATATATCGTTTTCAAGGGTGGAGTACCGCAATGGCATTATCCGTACAGTACTTGCCAAATTCCGGCGTAACATGGCTGCCGTGCCCGTCGAGAATGAGAAGTCGACGTGTTCCAACCGTACGGCGCCGTGTGTATGGGTCGAAAAGTGCCTTTAAGGGATTTCCCGGTGATCTGCCGGATCGGGTGATTCGCCGGATTGGTTCGCAGAGGGGTCGGTTCGAAGCCGGCTGGAGGCACCCCTGGGCGAACAGGGTACACCCGGGTTCCCGCCCGTCAACAGGGAACAGCGTCATGAGAGAACACAATCGGCGTACCAACCACCATCAATGACTAACACAACCACGCTTCAACTTCGACACATCGCGCTTCAGTTGCTGGGAATAGGATGCTGAACACTTGGAGAAATTAACCTTCAAGCAGGTCTGTCATGGAGCGAACAGTGGAATAGTTGGCGCAGCGTAAGATGATTTGTGGGGCTTGGGGTGTCATGCATCAGTGTATCGAACCGTCAATAGCCAGAGCGTCTAGGCCCTATTAATATAGGGACCTACCCGTTGGCGGGGAAGGAAGCCACAGGGCTCCACTAGTACCTTACCTACCTTGGCCAATTACCCCCGGGGACCTCGTATCGCCATAATTCTTGCCCAGTTCTCGCTTGTCACGACCCTGCGCGTCAGCGTAGAGACACCAGCGCAGAACCTCACCAGTGTCACGTGCCCAAGCAGCATCACGTGCCCACATGCGACCTCGTGCTTACCTGAGCGCTGCTGAGGTAACCTCGTGCATATGCACATAAGGGCCAGCTCGGTCGTGTAGTCTAGTCTTTCTTTCTTGCTCCTTAGCTTTGAGTCTTCGTTCATAGTGCCAATACATCTTTATAGCCGTCAAGGCTCGTATGTGCCTGGCCGAAACATCGCTTATGCGTTACCAAGCCCCGTTTCTTGGGGCTGGTATGCAGTTGACCCCTCAAGTCGCCTTATGTTAGATGCTTGTAAGCAAGGGTCAAAGGCAACAGCTCTACCGGGCCCGCAATAGTGCGGGAAAGTCCCTGTTTAGTCTCGTATAAGTATAACTCGCACGCAGCAAGATTAACTAGGAGGCCCATGCGAGTGTAGATGTTCCAAACGGGCGCTATACCTAGATCCTAGGATAGTGGAGACTTTGAAATACGTTATAAAGAGGGATTTTTTTAAACCTTCAACAAGGCTTTCAAAACTGGATCAGAAAGGTACTTCATTTTGTATTATTTAGGTATAAAGTCTAGGCCTCTCCCAGCTCCCCTAGAATCAGTCACAGGACACAACTTCCACTGTAACGGGCTGAGCCCGTGAGGGTCTCGGCTCCGCTCTCGACAAGACCCACCGGAGCTCCGCTTATAAGCTCGTGCCATCTTCGAGAGCTTTCCTTTCTTTTCTTTTCTTCTTCTTTTCTCCTTAGCTTTAGGATACTCGTCGCAGTCGCTCAGCTAGTTGTCAACACACTCAGTTGAGACCGTTACATTATCCTAAAGCTCCGCTTTCATCGTTAAAGCCTTTGATCACAATCAATTGGCAGCGCTGTTCAGTTCCCTTTGTGGGTACGCGGAGTGGCAGTAGCTTGGGCAATCCTGTGTGGAACGCCCGCGACGAAAGTGCGTGTGTGTACGGCGCCAAAGCCAGCTTGGCTCGCGTCGCGTAGCTCTCATCTCCCGAGCAAAGGACGTGGAGCGTCAATCTGCTCTCCGTACGGCGTGCGGTTGAGCGAGAAGTACGTGATTGCTGCTTGGCTCCCAGTGTGGACGGCAGCAGCTGGACTAGAAGCCCTGTGCAGAACGTCCAGCCGTGTAGGAAGGAGCCTTCGAGGCGTTGATAGCGTTCGACCGTTGTCGAGATATCCCTTCCGTATCAGACTTGCTGTGTGATCAAGTCGCCCTCAGTCCTGAGAGACGAGGAGAAAATCTTCAGTCATGGAGGCAATCGATTCCCAGCAAGGTTCTTTTGAGCCTCAATCGATGATGCAAGCCCTGGCTGCAGTGATGGACAAACTAGAAAGTGTGTGCAAGCCAAGAGGCCGAACGCGAAGAGATGCGATCGCAGATCCGAATCCTCCAAACAGCCGTCTCAACTCCGACTCCGGCAAATGAACCAGTCGCTCCTATCGAACCGATGTCCGACAACACGCCTCAATCGATCGAGACATCCGAAAGAATCCCATCAAAGAGGGTAAAACCAACCTTGCCTGATCCGCCGAAATTGATGGAACCAGGAAAACTTCCGTCCCTGGTTCTTAGAGATGAAAGCGAAATTGGCTGTGGACCGACAGGCATTCGACAATAAAGAAGCACTCTTCGCCTATGTGTACCCCGGTTGGCGGAACAGCCCAGAACATGGCCGCTGCTTATTACGAACAGGGCGGTATCGATGGTGCTCGCCCCAGATCTGTTTCTCGACTACTTGAACCGTCGGTACGGGGACCCGAACGCAAAGGCACGAGCACTGGATCGACTTCGATCGTTGAAGCAGAAGCCTGATGAGAGTTTCGCCAGTTTCTTCCCAAAGTTCGAGAAAGAGCTTGCCGATAGTGGCGGTGAGTGGGCCGACGTGGTGCAAATCAATTACTTGGAAGGAGCAATTAATAATAGGCTCAAGTCGAGTCTCGTCAGTGCCGTCAGTCTCCGAAGGATTTCAACAGCTACGCCGAGCTACTCTGACGATTGGCTCGCGCCTAGATAGCCTCAATTTCACCAACGACAACAAGGCCGCGAGCAGAGGTCAAGAAAGGAGTATGGTCGTTTATCCGAACCGCTCGAGTCCCGACAAAGCCCCGTCACCCGGATCGCCAACCACGTCGTCCCCCGTCCGATGATCAGATGGATTGGGAACCCGTGAAAGCAAATCGGTTGATAAACGGCAGGAGGGCCCGGAGGAAAAGCAATTTGTTCCGTTGGAGGAGCGCAAATGTTACGAGTGCGGGAAGCTTGGCCATCTTGCGGCCAAGTGTCCCGGGAAGGAGCGGCGGCAGCAGAGAGTCAAGGTCCGTGTCGAAGAGAAGACAAGAAGCTCGAGAGCAAAGCACCAAGAGCCCGCGGAGAGTTCTAGCGGGGATACCTCCGATGACCATTCGAAAACGAGTAGCTCCTGACGAAAATCGCCGTCAGGAGCGCGCAAAGGCTGAGGCGGAATGGGCAACTCAGAAGGACGAGATGGACTGTGAAGGCCTCTACGTAAATTTCGGTATCAATCGAGAGTATTTCACCACGGCCTTCGTTGACTGTGGTTGCCTGTGTTATGGGACCATCAGTGAGCGCCTTGCCCGCAAGCTTCACCTGCCGCGTATTCCGATTAAACCTCGAGCGTTGGAGCAGGTCAACACATTCTCACCCGAGGCCATCTGTGCCGTGACCTACTTCGACTTCGATATCGACGGGTACCAGAAGAAAAGAGCTTTTTTCTACGTTGTGCGAGACCAGACCGATCCTGTGATTCTGGGCAAGAAGTGGTTGAACCAGGAGGATGTCACCTGCGATTATCGCAGAACCTCTTGCATATCGGGACGCACGACCATTGGGTGAAAGGCCGAGACCCGAAGGAGGAGGAACGGTGCAACATACGAGGACAGGCGGCGTTCGTGTTCGCCGGAATGGTTCGCCGAGCAAGAAAGTTCAAGCATCGAGACGATGGAGTGCGGATCTTCGCCGCAAGCCTGAAAGACATTGAGAAGGCATTGACTCCGAGGAAGAAGTCAGACCCGAGAGAGAAGCTGCCCGTCACTACCACGAGTACCTATCCGTCTTCGACCGCGACCAAGCGGACCAACTCCCACCGCGTCGTCCGGGGTGTGATCACAAGATTCAGTTAGAGAGAGGTCCTGATGACAAGGAGAAAGAACCGCCGTGGGGACCATTGTACGGCATGTCACGAGAAGAGCTCATTGTTCTGCGAAAGACTCACTGAGCTACTCGACAAGGGTTTCATTCGAGCAAGTAGTTCTCCAGCGTCAGCACCAGTTTTGTTCGTGAGGAAGCCCGGTGGTGGTCTGCGCTTTTGCGTGGACTATCGAGGATTGAATGCGATCACCAAGAAAGACCGATATCCCTTGCCGTTGATCGAGGAAACTTTGCGGTCGCTGTCCAAGGCCAAGTGGCTCACCAAACTTGACGTTATCGCAGCATTTCACAAGATTCGCGTCGAGGAGGGAGACGAGTGGAAGACAGCATTCAGAACACGTTACGGACTCTACGAATGGCTTGTCACGCCATTCGGGTTGACGGGTGCTCCCGCAACGTTTCAGCGTTACATAAACCACACGTTGCGAGATTTCCTCGACGAGTTCTGTTCCGCTTACATTGACGACATCTTGATCTACTCGAGCGGTTCGCTCGCAGATCATCGCAACAAAGTCAGGCAGGTCCTTGCTCGACTGCGAGATGCAGGCCTGCAGATTGATATCGACAAGTGTGACTTTGAGGCAAAGAGTGTCAAGTACCTGGGCTTCATCGTCGAAGCCGGGAAAGGTATCCGCGTGGACCCGGAGAAGGTGCAGGCAATTCAGCAGTGGCAGCGACCCCGTTCTGTCAAAGGCGTCAGAAGCTTTCTGGGGTTTGCCAACTATTACCGGCAATTCATTCCCAGATTCTCCAACATCGCCGCGCCTCTAACGGCGTTAACAAAGAAGGATGCGGTGTTTGCGTGGTCGAAGGAGTGCGACAAGGCCTTCGAGGAGTTGAAGGCTCTTCTGACCAGTGCGCCGGTCCTTGCGCAATGGGATCCGGATAGAGAGACGATTGTGGAGACGGATTCATCCGGTTATGTCACAGGAGGGGCGCTCTCGCAAAAGGGCGATGACGGCATCATGCGGCCTGTGGCCTTCTTCTCAAAGAAAAACGCACCGGCGGAGTGCAACTACCCAATCCACGATAAAGAGCTGCTGGCGATCATTCGCCGACTTGAGCATTGGGACGCCGAATTGAGGAGTGTGAAGTCCTTTACCGTTTTGACGGATCATCTCAACCTCCGTTACTTCACCAAGAAGCAGCAACTGAGTGAACGTCAGGCGCGATGGGCTGAGACGCTATCGCGGTACAGCTTCACCATCAAGCATCGACCGGGCAAAGAAGCCGTCGTACCGGACACGCTGTCTCGACGAGAACAGGACATGCCGCACAGCGCCGAAGATGATCGGTTGCAAGGACGACGTGTTCAGCTGCTGCAACGTAACAAGGGTGGCCTGGTGACAAAAGTCAAGAGCGGTTATGTCACCAAGGGCGACACGGATCAACCTGATGACGCAACAACTGACCAAGACGACTCAATCGAAAACCCTTTCTCGGACCCGGAACTGCAGAAGTTATGGGACGAAGGTGTCAAGAAGCACAATCGTTATTGGCTCATCCGAAAGGCCGTACAGCAAGGCGAGAGGCGTCTGCCGTCGCATTGGGGACTGCCCGTGATGCTCTCGGAATGCTCGATTGACGATGGACAGCGGCTCTGCTGGCGAGAGCGAATTTGGGTGCCGAACCACGAACCCTGCGCACGCGGCTTATGCAGGAGACGCATGACTCAACGCTTGCAGGACACCCCGGACGGGACATGCTGAAGTCCTTGTTGAGCCGCAAGTTTTATTGGCCAGGCCTCGATTCAGACGTGCGTCAATTTGTGAGAAATTGTGATGTGTGTGGCCGAAGCAACATTTGGCGAGAGAAGCGTCGCGGTTTATTGAAGCCGCTACCTATTCCAGACAGGATCTGGTCGGAGCTGTCAATTGACTTTGTGACAGACCTGCCACCAACCAAGTCGAACGGTTCGACCAACCTTATGGTCGTGACGGACAGACTGTCCAAAAGTGTCGTTCTTGAGTCATTGAAGGACATCACGGCCGAGACGACGGCCAGAGCATTGCTACGGAACGTGGTGCAACACCATGGCGTGCCGCGCGCGATCGTCACTGACCGTGGCACGCAATTCACCAGTAGACTATGGCAGAGGCTCTGCGAGCTGCTACGCGTGAAGCAAAGATTGTCTACGGCGTGGCATCCCGAGACTGACGGTGCAACAGAAAGGGCGAATCAGGAAGTCGAGAGATATCTGAGGATCTTTGCTGCTTATGCTCAGGATAACTGGGAAGAGCTGTTGCCAGCGGCCATGATGGCCATCAACAATCACAACTCGACGTCGACAGGCCTGAGCCCGTTCTTTATCACGCATGGGTATCATGTTGACCTGATACAAGTCAAGGAGAAGTTACGGACGGACGGAAGGTCCCCAGTGACCAGGGCTGAAAGCATTGTGCAACGATTTCGAGAGGCAACGGAATGGGCCCAGGCGGCAATTGCGTCAGCGCAAGAGCAGCAAGAGAAGAACGCCAATTCGCGAAGACAGCCGTCAGACCAGTTCAAGCCTGGAGACAAGGTATGGCTGCGACTTCGCAACATCCGATCCAATCGGCCATCCAAGAAGCTCGATTGGCTGTCGGCCAAGTACACCGTCCTGAGACCATTGGGTCACACGCGCAGGCTGGACACGCCTCCGGGAATACACAACGTGTTCCACGTGTCGCTCTTACGCTTAGCAGCGGACGATCCGCTACCGTCACAGACGTCGGATGACTACCGCCCACCGGCCATTTTGACGGACGATGGCGAGCTGTGGAAGTGGAAGAGATTCTGGACAGGAAGAAAGTCGGAGAGAGTGGAAAGTGTTGGTGAAATGGGTCGGATGGATAGGTCCGACGTGGGAGCCAGTCAAGTACGTCGCAGACACAATAGCACTGGCTAGGTATGAAGAAGTTCATGGGAAAGTTGGATCGAAACCACCCCAATCGAAACGATCGAAACGGGGAGGGGAGGGGTTATTGTAACGGGCTGAGCCCGTGAGGGTCTCGGCTCCGCTCTCGACAAGACCCACCGGAGCTCCGCTTATAAGCTCGTGCCATCTTCGAGAGCTTTCCTTTCTTTTCTTTTCTTCTTCTTTTCTCCTTAGCTTTAGGATACTCGTCGCAGTCGCTCAGCTAGTTGTCAACACACTCAGTTGAGACCGTTACATCCACTCTCATCTTTTGCCTCTGAAATTCTATAAACTTCTATTGCTGTTTTAATGAACACCAAAGGTTTTCTTACCCTCGTTCCAGCAACATGAAAGCCACTCTTGTTATCTTAGCCTCCTTAGCCGGGTTCACTCTTGCGGAGGAATCAACTCCCAATAAGGTAACATTACGACCTTCCTGCCAATGCTACACCACAGCCACCAAGTCTATACTGTCCGTCCGGCTGACTTTTTTTATATATTAAAAATCAGGCAGTAACCTGTGGCCAGCCTGTCCGACATGATTCAAACCCGATCATGAAATTAGAACCCAGTTATACCAAGCCGAAGTCGGAGCTGCGCGAAATTGTTGGCGAAGTTATCCAACTGCTGAAGGAAGCCAATGAGACGGTCGCAGTGGCAGAATCACTCACTGCCGGAGGCGTCATGGCCGCTCTCGGCTCGGTAGCGGGCGCGAGCTCTGTTTTTCGTGGCGGAGTCGTCGCGTATGCGACGGAAGTTAAAAAAAACGTCCTCAAGGTAGACACCAAGCTGATTGAGGATAAGGGCGTGTTCGACCCCGACGTCGCTTGGCAGATGGCTGCGGGCGCCCGCGCCGTCACCGCTATAGAGGACAAGGCCACAACATGGGGGATCGGCACCACCGGCGTTGCCGGCCCGGGTCCTTCTGATGATCACAAACCTCAAGGTACAGTTTATATTGGCATCTCATTAGCGGCCGAAAAGAGGGTCCCACCGGAGACAATGGACCAGGCATGGGCATGGGGCTCCTTCGACTTCCAAGGCGATCGTGACACAATCCGGGGCGATACTGTCATAGTAGCATTGGTCAAACTACGTGAGCTTCTTCAACAGAGGAAGAGTGCAAGGTTGGCTAAGCACTAAGGAGGAAGACGCATAGCGCTCATCATAGATTAACTCAATCAATCAATCATCCCAATCAAATCAATCAAACCAGTCCAGTCCTAGATTCAATTAAATCAATTCCCGCGATTTGGAATTTAACATGATTTGGTTAAGTTGATATGTATGCATCTGAAGTGTGATGGGTTCTAATAGTGTAAATTACAGCTATGTAGTCCTCGTGCGTTTTGCATTCGAGCTGAGGAAAGAAGAAGGAAAGGAAAATAGAAGGACAGAAATCCTCTAACAAAATAGACTAAGCCGTTACTAGAGCAATAGTGCTTAGACCGACAAGGCACTGCCTTGTCCAGCAGGGCCTAGCCAGTTGTTGCTAATTTAGCCCGAAGGGCGTTCTATGCCTTAAGGAACGAAAGGACTTTCTACGTGCCTCTGGTCCCTCAGCTCCTCCCCCCACCTTTTATAAGGCCCCTTGTTATTAGTCGCTGCTGCCCCCCTCTTGCCCGTGACCTCGACTCCCCCGCATCGCTATCGAGCCAGCGCAACGTCTCCTCGACAGTCCTCTTACTTAATACCTCGAGCCTGGCCTACGCGGCAGTTATCTCCTCGGGGACCCGGTTGCCTACTAAGTCTCTCTCCCGCACCTTAGACACGAGCATAATGCTATCTAGCGTTCGGTAGCGCGATAGCTATATATATAAGCTATACGGATTATATTGCGCGGGCACGACCCTTCTATCGACCTTTATCGTCTATATCCCTCGTAGCTTAAGGGCTATATAATTTAGTATTCTACCCTATACCTTATAATCTATATACGCGAAAGCTACTATATATAGTAAACCCTTCTAGCTAACGTCGTTCTACTACTATAGTTGCTTTCGTTAGTAATATATCCTAACGCTTATTAGCGTTAATAGGATCGTGCCTAGCGATATCCCTACTAAGCGGAGGTCTTTTATCGTTGCTAATATTAGAATTATCCCCGCTAGCGGCCTAAAGTAAATTATTATATTAGCTAAGATCTAATACCTTAGGCACGCCTTATCGACGATAACCTCTACTACTAAGTAGCTAGCGCTATTTACTAGCTTTAGCCCTTAATAGGTATTATAGTTTATAATAGCCGGTATCTTAGGTATAAATATAAAGATAGCCGGTACTAAGATCGCGCTATCATCGACTTAGTTAAGTATTATAATCGCTTTTTCCTTAGTCGGTAAGCTATCCTTTTACTTATACTTAGAGATAAAGATATATATTATTAACCGCTACTAGATCCGAAACGCTAAGCTTACCTCTATATTTAGGTTCTACCGGTTCCTATTTAGCGGCGTTACTATAGTAATACCTATCTCTTAAGGGATCCGCCTACCCTCCTAGTAATACCTTAAGTTAAGGAGGTCTAGATCTATATAGTCTTATACTAAACGGATCCGCCTTAGTAGCCCTTATAATTCTAGATTACCGGCGGCGCGTATTTACTTATTTAATATAACGACTATCGTAAATCTCTTTTATAGCGCGTGCGCTTTATTATACTAGTACCGCTACTTAGCCTTAAATAAGTTATCTACGTCCTATAAGGTAGCCGTACTTAGTAGGAGGATCGACCTCTCTTAGACTAGCCGGAACTACTAAAAGTCCCTATAAAAGAGGATAATAAGGATCCCTTTAAAGTCTTACTATAATCCGCGAAGTTAGTAGAGCTACTCGTTTATAGCGTATAGCGTCCGCGCTTTAAGTATACTTACTATTACGACCACGGCTACTAGGCCGCTAACGGTCGACCGCGTTAAGCATATAATACGGTCTAATAGATAAATAGTCGGTACGACTATCTAATAAATATAAGATCGAGGGGATCGTAAAGATCTAAGTAATCTAGGATTAATAAGATTACTACGCTTTATACGATCTAATATTAGGAATTATAGCTAGGCCTATAATCTAAGGATAGTCTTTATAAGTATATATAGCTACCTACTTTTACTCCTTTAAATAGATAGCTCGATAGCTTTTAATATAGATCTTTATTATAATTCTATCTTTAATTTTAATTACCTAGTTATAGTTTATAGTCTATAACCTCTAACTTATTACTAATATAATATACTTATTATTACTTAGACCACGCCCTATTATATCTACTAATATAAACCCCTTAATAGGTTTATCCCTTAAGAATAATACTAGTCGTTATATATTAAAAGCTCTTATTTAGTATAATATTATATTACTCTAAGCAATATCGTAACTATTAATATACTTATATAGTAAGCTAGATTAACTAATTTTAGAGCTACTATATTACCTTCGGATATAATACGCGAGATTATTACCCTTTAATATAAGGTATAGTTACTTAGGAACGGAGGAGGTAATAGATAAGTTAGGGACCTTAGAGAAGTAGTTAAACTAAAATAGCTAGGACTATTCGACGGTACTTATAGCACGCTTTAAGACTTTCTTACTTAACTTAAGGCCTATTACTAGTTTTACCTTATAAAACTCTTAGACCTAGTTAAAAAGGTACTTTATATAGGAAATTATTTATCTAGAATAGTACTTACTTAGTTTATATAACGACCGGTATTATTCCTAAGGGATAAACCTATCGAGGGGTTTATATTAATAGATATAATAGGGCGTAGTCTAAGTAATAATAAGTATATTATATTAGTAATAAGTCGGAGGTCGTAAACTATAGACTATAACTAGGTAATTAAAATTAAAGATAGAATCGTAATAAAGATCTATATTAAAAGCTAAAGAGCTATCTATCTAAAGGAGTAAAAGTAGGTAGCTATATATACCTATAGCCCCCTTACTATAACGATATTACCTATTATATTTAGCCCGTTTAGTCTACTTAGTACTAATCTAGCTAATCTAACTAATTAAACTAATCGGTGCTTAGTTTACTTAGTATCGATCGTCCGATCTAACTAATCTAACTAATCCGTTACGTAACCTTTATATTAATAGTTCTTCCGTAGTCCGTAGCGCCTAGTACCCTATACTTCGACTATACGGCCTATATTCTAACCGTCTTCCCCTTATAGTTAGCTAGTTCGTAATATTATTCTCTCCTCCCTTATAATCCTTATCCTAAGGATTATAAGTAGTATAGTACGTCGTCCTTAAGTATTAGTTCGTTCTTTCCTTCTTTATATTTTTTCTATTATAGCTAACTATATCTAGTTCTTATATCTCTAAATTATTCCGTTCTTTTACTTAACGCCGTAGGGACGTAGTATCTTAAATCGAAAAAATCGGTATTTAGTTATTCGAAATAGGTTAGTGTTCGCCTTACTAAGAGAGTAGCTTATTATATTTCGTCCTAAAAGGATATTCGAAATGCTCGTCTTATACGAAAAAAGGCATTTATTATTATAATAGAAATTTTTCAATAGTAGAGTTCGATAGCCTTAAGGTTTAGAAGAATCGTCTTCGGGTTAATGCCTAATCTAAGCGCTAAGAGGTCGGTCGGCTCGCGGCTATAGCGGCCGCTATATATACCGCTCTTACGAGGGCGTAGTAGGAAGAAATCGATATCTCTTCTTAAATCGATCGATACTTTAAGGCGTAGTTACGTATATTACGCTAAGAGCTTTATACGTTAGACGAGTTAGACTTATCGTCGACCCCTAAAATAGCGGTTCCGGATAACGCTTTTCTATAGTCGGAACTAGACTCGTAGCTATAGTCTAACGGCGTTACTACTAGCGTTGCTAATAGAACTATTAGAGTAGAGAACCGTAGTAGGTTAAGTACTTAAGTAGTTCCTAGGTATTCTCTTTTAGTTTATATCCCTTCTATTTAATAAAGTATTCTTATTACTAACCTTATTTTCTTATATTTAGTATTTA